GATGCGAATTGCGCGCCGCTGTAGTGTGGCAAGTATGACTGCTGTACGCGTTTTCGCGTCTAGACTCCACCATCACTAACATCAGGTGGGGCAGAGTCATTAATTTGTCAGACATAATAAAAAAAAAATGGATGCGTGTAACTTATGTACGCGCGTGAGAAGTTATACCTCTTTAGCATCATTAAAAATATTTTTTAATTGCATGCAAATAATTAATAATTACAAAAAATGGATGCGTCTAACTTATGTACGCGCGTGAGAAGTTATACTTCTTTAGCATCATTAAAAATATTTTTTAATTGCATGCAAATAATTAATAATTACAATAAAATAATAAAAGGACTGGAAAACGATAGTTAACACAGTCAATTAAGTTCAGTTTTAATTTGAAAAATTAAATAAATATTCAAAATATTCAATTAAAATCACTGCTGAATTTAAGTTATTAGTCCATATGTAATTAGCACTTGTAAGTAACTAAAACACGTTGTGTCTATATAGAAACTAGAAACATGTGGATAAATATTATAAATATGAAAACAGTGATCAGAGGCGACGAGCGTGCCAACATTGTTTTTGACAACGCGATCATCTTATGGAGCTCCGTGGATCGTTCAAAGTACCTTTCGAACAGATGTCTAATAATGGTGGACTATTAACCACTAAGTGGTTAATAATCCACCATTATTAGACACTAACATTCATAACGCGCCCGCGGCCAACTTCATGGTGTTACTATTGTGTTACAGTGATGCGCGCGCATCTCGAAATTTCATTCACATGATTTTTTCATAACGCGCCCGCGGCCAACTTCATGCTGTTACTTTTGGGCTACAGTGATGCGCGCGCATCTAAAAATTTCACTCTCATCATTTTTTCATAACGCGCCTAAAGAAGTATAACTTCAAAAAATGTTGGTATGAACGGTAACTTTTTATAAAGGAACAAGTGATTTTCGAGATGTGATGGATAATTGTTCACAAAAATTAACGGAATTGTTGCTAATGCATTCAACTTAAAACTTAAAGATTTGTAGCAAGTATTATTTACTGAAGTGCCAACATTTAACATTGAAGAGCCTCTTCATACCAGTAACTTGAGAATTCTAAAATGTGCCAGTATTTGAATGCCTCCGAATCATTATCACGGTAAATAAGATCGCTAGTACCCGCTCCATAAAATTAAATATAAAGTAGAACAGATCTTCAGCGTAATAACACCCCAAGGAGAGGTAAGTGAGGGTTGTTTCTAAGGAAAAGAAAAGTTAAAGGTACCTATTATATCTTAGTTTTTGATAAAGGTACTTACTTGAGTGGCAAAAGTCTCCTCCCGGACATACTCGTAAATAGGCAAAAATGAGAATTGAATAAAATTTTGACGAGGATGGTGTTAAAGTTAAAGGATTGTACCACAAGAAAGTTGACACTGTTTTAAATAATGCTTTTATGTAGATTATTGTATTTTTATTTTTATAAATAAATAAAATAAATATTTCCAACACACCAATTAGCCTAGCCCCAAAGTAAGCACTGTAAGGCTTGTGTTATGGGATGCTAGGGCATCGGATAGATTACATATACTGTACATATTTAAGTATATTTATATAGAAATATATAATAAACATCCATGACTGGAGTACAAATGCTCGTATTCATCACACAAACATCTGCCCCCACCGGGATTCGAACCCGGGACCTCTCGAGTCGGCGACACCATGAAACCCGGCGTACAAACCACTCGGCCACGGAGGTCGTCGGTTGTTTTAATATAACAAAAGTTTATATATAATACAAACGTTATTTGTATTTACACTGCTTAATACAGCAATCAAAATGTGAGTTTATGTTGTATTGGTTAGCGACATTTTTTTTTTGTTGTAACAGCATCAGCATTTTACAGAAGTAGCAACAACTTCTGTAAAATGCTGATCAGTTTTGTGCGCCCATTATTCTCATCAGCAAAATGATGTCCTGAATGGGTGGTAGAAAAATATTGAAAAATTTAAAAGAGTTTTTCATAAGTCAATTTGAGTCACACTAATATTAACATTGGTTCCGATGACCTCGGTGGTCGAGTGGTTTGTACGCCGGGTTTCATGGTGTCGCCGACTCGAGAGGTCCCGGGTTCGAATCCCGGTGGGGGCAGATGTTTGTGTGATGAATACGAGCATTTGTACTCCAGTCATGGATGTTTAATATCTATTTCTATATAAATATACTTTTGTATATGTATTTTATCCGTTACCCGAGCATCCCATAATACAAGCCTTATAGTGCTTACTTTGGGGCTAGGTTAATTGGTGTGTGTTGGAAATATTTATTTATTTATATTATAAATGCGAAAGTTTGTGAGTGTGTATTTTTGTTACTTATTCACGTCTAGAGCGATTTCAATAGAATTTGGTATGGAGTTAGCTGACACCCTGGATTAACACATAGGCTACGTTTTACTGCGGGAAAATATCCCTGATAACCGCGGGTAACACTTTCCCTAATAAACCTAGGGTAACACCGCGGGGCACAGCTAGTAAAGTTTCATTTCACCACGAATTTTTATACATAGTAAAATTTTCATGCTTTGATAAATTTTGTATCCAATTTTTTTCAAAATCTCGTGTTAAACGCATAACTCATATTTGTGACACTAAAAAGTTTATTCTCTTTATTTCATTCCACCCTGGTTGCAAATTATTTGTATTTTTGTTGCATTTTTCCATTCTTATACAAGGTTAGCGAGTATATATACGTTCATTGTACTTACAAACACGAATCAAATCAATTCTAGTTGTACATACCGATCCCAAGATATTACATCGTAGGGCTAGAGGAGAGACAGAATGTCCTATTATATAGGTTTTACACACTCGCACACACACACACACACACACACACACTCACACACATACACACACACACACTCACACACACACACACACACACACACACACACACACACACACACACATACACACACACACACACACACACACAAACATACATCACAAACACACATACCAGTATTTAATTATATCTATAACTACATGCTTTCTGGGTGGTTCTGGCCACAGAATAATATTGTAAAGTAAGATTAACGAAACAAACAATTTAATTTTTATCATTATAAAATACTAGTCGATTTTGTCCATCAGAATAATAATAAATTAGTAAGATCTGGTGGGCCTGGAATCTTACTATAATTGAAATATAAAAAAAAAATATTTTGAAAATCTTACCTTTATTATAAAATCGTACCAAATAACATTTAAAAACCCTTCGTTATCCTAACAGGCATTTCAAGCAACTTTTGCTTTAATTTGTACATTTAAGTAATAACTAAAACAAGTTGTCGCATTTTGTAACGTTTTCTGTCTGACATTTAAATTCTGCGACCTCTTTAAATGGGTATTCTCATAAAGGTCAAAAGAAAATATTCACCAAGAAGATAAGCAAAACTTATGCTATTTAACTTGGGCAACAGTTCATGCGACTTTCACTTTTTTATGTCTATATTACGTAACTCTTCATAAACAAGTGTAGATGATTTCTTTACTGCAAAAAATATATGAGATGGTATGTATACAAATCAGGTTCTTCATAATTGAGTCGTATAGTATCAAAGGCGGCAAAGTAGGGCGAACCAAATATTTGGCAAATCAAAAAAAACTGTTAAGTCTCGTCTTAAGGGAGGATTTTTATAATTGACTTTTCACTACGATTTGTAGATGAATGTCAATTATAAAAATCCTCCCTTAAAGACGAGACTAAACAGTTTTTTTTGATTTGCCAAATATTTGGTTCGCCCTACTTTACCGCCTTTGATACTATACGACACAATTATAATGTCTTAATGTGCAGGTTTTGGGGTTGTAGTATTAAAATCAACATTCGATGTATCGCGAATTTCTTCGAATTATGCCCTGCGATATTAAAAACTATCTACTAGGTCATAACACTGCGTTGCGGCGGCGTACGGTAGAACTATGAAGTTGTACAACGCACCGCGGAATTATTCTATGCTCTGTCGGCCGTTGTGATGTTTGTTTTGCGTTGCGACATCGCATCGTATTGCAATGAGACGTCGTTTTAAGCAATGCGATGGCTCAATTCACCCACAACTTTGTATTTATACTTTTTTCAGACTTGCTTAGAATTTACGGTACCTGCGTGAATTCAAGGGATATAATATCGCACCTCCGGTGCGACACTGTCACTTATGCAAAAAAATCATTATTTCAGGAGAAACGTTTAAAACTTTAACATCCCAAAACATACAATATTTAAAGTTTTTTTTTAATTTTTTTTTTAGATGAATAGCTAAGCTGCATATTATTTCATCACGTAAAAATCTTTAAATATTGTATGTTTAAAGATGTTAAAGTTTTAAACGCTCGTCCTGAAAAAAAATTTTTTCGGCATAAGTGACAGTGTCGCACCGGAAGTGCGATATATTAAATTAAATAGGGTTCGGCAGCGGTGTATCCTTGTCATTCTCTACACAGAGTTCGGTTTCGGGTTTGAAGGGAGCATTTTTTTAATTATATTCGGCACAATTCAAAACGTTTTTAAATAGGTAATATTAGTTTCCAACCCAAAACGGGGTAAGTTCCATTTCATTTAATACGCATATTTTTAAATTTTAGACCACGTGTTTTTTTCGTTTATACCTAATTTGTTGAGTTTTATATTTATACCATGAAATATAATCTAATCAAGCTTATCTATTATTATTTATTTATTTATTATTAATGATTTTGTTTTTTTGTAAATTAATTTAATTTGAATTTATTGTTTGATTTTTAATGGTTGATATGGGCTGCTGTTGTCCGTTTTTTTTATTACTTTTATTTATTTATTATCCTTGGCGAGTTATTTATCCGAACCCCTAAAGCGACGGCTACCTTCGCAGTCTAAAACTATTCTCCCTATTTCATCCATGGGCAAATCCTGTACCTCAGCAGTGGAGAAATTAACAGGCTGATGATGAATATGAATGGTACTGACCTGGTTGGGTCCGGTGAGGTTCAGCCCACAGGAGTTGCAGCGGAGACATTCCTCGTGGTAGTGGTTGTTGTCATACAGTGGGGATGGTTCTGCGAAATTAACAACTACATTAGTTTTATCAGGCTGTTTTTAAAATCATCATTTTCTTATACATATATTAACCTACTCACAATTTTAAAGATTTTTTTTGTTCTTTATTTTTTTTAATACATTTTTTTGGTGGTTTTATGAACACATACAGAAAGACAAAGTGTTTAGAGACACATGAGGCGTCGGAGATTTAGACCAACCCTCTAATGTACTGGCTTACTGAGTAGAAAATGATCACCCACCAGCCCTCCGATGTACTTTTATTTAGAGGCTTTCATTCTAATAATCTGTTTTAAAGAGGGCTAGGGAGTGGAACTCTTTGCCTAGATCTGTTTTCCGGACCAATATAATCTGGACGTCTTCAAGGCCAGAGTGAACAGGCATCTTCTTGGTAGGCGTGTACCATCCTAGGCCTCATCATCGCTTTCCATTAGGTGAGATTGTGGTGAAACGCATTGCCTATTTAGCATAAAACAAAATTGCCGTAATGTTTTTCGTTCAGCATTTCGTATCATATTTTTATTTATTAGAAAATCAGATTTTATCAACAATCATCGGTGATTCAGTGGAATTTTATTGTAGAAAAGCTTTGATCAACAATGGTATAGATAACGGGTTGCATACAAAATCAAAGCTAATAAAAGCTGTCCGCGTATGCTTAAACTTATGCAGCTACATTCGATTCCTAATGAACAAAGATAAATGTATTTAAAACAGTTTAAGTTGAACCTAATAACAACGATCTCGCAAAGGAATAAGGTTACAAATAACAAAATGTTGTTTTGCACATACGACCTTTTATCTTATAAAACGAACTCCGAATGTTTGTTACTTCTTCACGTCTTTAGCTTGGAAGATAACCCTTTTAATGAAGTATATCTGAGTTTACAAGAAAACCTGGATAAGAATGAGAGGTTGTGCGAAAGAGCTATCATGGCGCCCAAAAACCATGAATGAATTGGTAGGAAAAAATAATAAAAGAATATTAGAGCAAGTTCCACGTGAGGTGAGGACCTACATGTCAATAGACTCGGTGGTGACAACTGACGACGCACCTATATACCCTGTAGAGTGCTTAAATTCCCTCGACCTGTCAGGGGTACCCTCCCACAAGTTGGAACTCAAAATTGGTGGCCTGTCATACTAATGCGTAACCTGGACGCGCCCAGACTGTACAACCGCACTAGGTTACGCATCACAGAGCTGAGATGGCACATCGTCCCGCAATACCTCGGGAGACCCCTGCCGTGGAGCCCCGGCTAGACCGGGAGGCTGCTGGGTGCGGAGACGCGGGAGAATCCCTAAATGGGGATCCCGCGGTTTCGCACTAAGCAGCTTAGAGGGTATTCGCAGGGTTTTTTAGCGGATATTATGCCGTAAAGCGCCCGTAAGAGGGGTCCTCAGTAGACCGCCACTGTGGGAGCGTAAGGTGTGAGATCCGTTCGGCGGTGTGCCTCTTAAAGGCGCCGTCGTCTGTAAACAGAGTTTTTGCCTGCGTCACAAAAAAGACCACCATTCTTACTGGAGGGGCAAAAGGAGAGACGGTATTGATACCCAGAATCCCTATTATATCCACAAACTTACCCTTCCAGTTCAAACGCCTAAAATTCCCTTTTAAAGTGGCTTTCTCTATCACGATAAATAAAAGTCAAGGTTAAACTCTAAAAGTAGCCGGCATTCACTTGGGCACGCCCTGCTTCTCCCACGGACAACTGTGTGTCGAGAGCAAGAAATATTTTTATTTACGCAGAAAACAATAACAGGATGTGCTGCAGTAAAATAATTTCTAGCTCTCTACAACCCGAGGCGAAAAACAATTATATAAGACAGCAGAATCAGCTCTCCCGTTTGTCAGTCATAAAATTTTGTAAATTAATCTTTCCGATGCTCAAAATTAAATTATTTTGCTTCTAAAAATGTGAATAGTTATTATTTTTACTGTTAATACACAATATCTCTTATCTATTAGACAAGTCCGTCTGTCTGTGGTGCTGTTTCAGCGGCTAAACCGTAAGAGATAGATAAAGAGAATATTTAAGTTATAAGTTAAGAATAGTCTGATAAGACTACAAACCGGATTTGAGTAACGTAGCACTTCCGGTTTTCGAGAAATCACGAATTTCAAACGAAACCACACAAAATCTCCGAAGTTCTCAATTAATTAAATACATTTTTTTTTAAATCAGGTTTTGGTGAACATTTGGTTCACTGGTTTGCTAGTATTTTCTCTACTAAACCACGGGTAATAACGCGGAGCACAGCTAGTAAATTATATCTGATACTTGGAAAAAAACGATAAAGGTGAAGAAAGGACAAAGTATATGTGTCATATGTATGTGCGTGTATGTACACATACATTTGTATGTATATTTATGTAAGTATGGTCGTATGTATAGTTAAGTGTTAGTATATTTTGCTCATTGTTTGATTTTAATCTCTCTTCTTTGATTCTGCCTTTTTATTTTAGCTCTGTATGTTCTTTCCGGTTGACTGGTAGAGAATGCCTAATTGGCATTAAGTCCGCCATTTGCAGTGTAAAGGGCAGATTAAATAAATAAAGGACAATGTTATTAGAACCCACAAAATAAATTATTTTTATCAGTCATTGGCCAGCGAGTTACTTCGTTTTGTATTAACCGAAATAATTTAAAATAAGATCTCACGCCTTAAGTGAGGGTATATTATCGAGATGGTTATTGTTGATCGAAGTACAAGAGGGAATTGGAATTGAAGGTTCAAATATCACGCAGACAATGTTACAGATAACCGCTGGTATATATAATAATAAAATTTAGTTGGATGCGACACGTGTTCAAAACTTTAACGTAAAACAACGTACGTACGTAACGTACAGCTTAAACAATGTAGTTTTCACGGCACGTGCTTCTATTGTACGCGATGATAAAATCAGCTATATTAAAGCATATTGACGGGATGTGCAGATAACTTGCAACTCTCGTGCATTGGCAATTGGATCTGTATTTTTTATTAACACAGTTGCTCTTAAATTGTCTTTTATTATACAGTTTCAAGTTTCATAATTCAGCATATTACCAAACTTGTGCAGTAAAATTATTACCCTACAAGTGCTGTGATATTTTTATTTTATTTCAGCAAATGTTTGTGTCTAAGTAACATTGAATATTTTTATGAATATTAAATTATTTTAGGGTTAAGACGACAAATAAACATTTAATTTCATATTTATAAACACAAACTAACTTAACTATCGTATTTAATTTATTAATTTATAGGTTATTAGCGACCGCCCACGACTAAGTCCGCGTCAACTCAGTTGGTTTCAGAATCCTATGGTAACCAGTTATTTTTCCGGAAAAAAATCCTAAGTCTCCATCCTGGTCATAAACCAAATATCATCCAAATCCGTTCAATAGTTTGTGCGTGATTAATTTAAAAACATGCAAACACACAAACATACAAACATTCACGTTTATAATATTAGTAGGATTTTAATTTTTAAATTTTTGTTTCCTCTAGCTGCATAGCCGGGTTTTCCTGTGCCTTTATTGAACCTGCGCGCACTACGAAAGAGCGGCCATTATAATAATAATAATTAAAACTTCGTGCCATTTTCCGTAAATATTTGATAAAGTTGCTGCTGTGTGTATCATTTCTATCAAAAATGTCTAATTCAAATAGTGAAGACGAGCAAAATATTAATAAGTCCCACCGGAAATACTTATTGAGGCACAAAATGCGAGCGATAGTCTGTTGCCGCCAATATCCAGAGCAAAATACCTGGCGACTTACGAAACTTTCAATCAGTAGAAAAACAGAAAAACGGCAAATAAATAGAAACCCAGCTCGCTATGGTGCATATACTCCGTGCTAAAAATCACAGTAAAGACCAAATATGAGATTAATATAAAAACATTGGTATTTCTAGAGACGTTCTGACGGATATAAATATAAGTCGAAAGTCAAAGGTACTATCACCAACTGAATCGATGTTAAAAATCCGCAAATGCAGACAGGATCAACAGTTTAACGTGCTTTGACGTGCACGTATGAACTAAATAGAAATAGTATTTTTTTAGTCACTCATCGTACATCAATGTGAAAGTTTTATTACGCGCCACGAAAGATGAGACTTGCCGAACGCCGTGCCCCGCGGTCTAGTACCCATTGGACCCTCCTAATTGGACCTTACCTACAAAAAAGTGCCCGTTCGACCTCCTATCAAGAACATGGTGCCCATTGGACCCTCAAAGACGTACTTAACGACACAATGGGAGCTATTGGAGCTCTTAACTATTTGGCTAATTCTTTTGGAACGGTAAAGTACAGTCGTGTAGTAAAGTAACGTTGTAAAAGACATAAAAACACAAAGGTTATAAATCTAAGTATTTAATCAACATATTTATAAAATTCAAAACACTCATCACCAGTAACAAACCAATATAAATATTTACATCTCTTATCTATTAGACAAGTCCGTCCGTCCGTCCGTCTGTGGTGCTGTTTCAGCGGCCAAACCGTAAGAGATAGATAATATTTAAGTTATAAGTTAAGAATAGTCTGATAATTTGTTTCTTAAGTTTTCACGCACATCACTCATTAAATAAAACTAGTTTAAACGGGATAATGCACGAAACTTTATTTATTTATTGACGTTTCGTAGCCTTTCCAGGCTTCGTCGTCAGAATAAAACTTTTGTTTAATTTGTCGAGCTACCTTCGAAAGACTTTTATAGAGCGTTTGGTTATTTCATCGTTCGATTTTTAAGTTTTATTGTCTATGTATGAATTTATTATTTAATTTACTTAATAAAGTATTTTATTTAAAATTCTTGTTTGTAATTTTGCGTTTATTTATTTGACCCTAACTACCGTAAACTACCACCGGTTCCAAAATTGGGAGACCTTCCTGAGAAGAACCGGCGAAACAAACTCAAGAGAGGCTTTCTATCTCCTTCTTATGTTAAATTATGCAAACAAAAAGAACTAATAGTATCTGATGGTCTTGCAGTATGTGCTCG